TGGGGTTTTGACTCTCTATAGTCTTCCAAAACTGCAATTCTAGCAGGGAAAAGAAATATCAAACTCACTAACAAGAAGAAATACATGACAGAAGAGTCATGATAGCCAAAACAATAATCCAACAACAAACATTTTCATTCATGAATATCTATGCTCCTCCAAAACAGGAAGATAGAGTTATCTTTCTTAAAAACTAGACTCCAGAAACCACATATGAGAATATCTGCATAATTGCAGGGGACTTTAATGTTAATCTATATCCTGAGAAAAATAGAATAAGCCAAGTACCTATACAACATAATAGTTCTAGAGTCCTCTTAGAAAATTTAGTAGAGTGCTATACTGACACAGCTCTAACCTCTGAGAAATCACCATTTTCACCTTTTTTTTTTAATGCAAATTGGTGTGCTTTATTAACAGATAGTAAAATCTAACTATTTACAATTAAATATTAGAATCCAGAAAAGGCTTATAGTTCTAAATAGAACCAAAGAAGACAAAACAAAGAAAAAAAGTAGTCAGATTTTTGATTATAATATAGAGCCAGATTGCTGTAATTTTTCTTTTCTAGTTTTTGATATTAGAGGCTATGAAAATCTCATCTAGTATTATAGAAGAAATTTTCTTCTTCCGGGTTTTTGAAAAACCTGTATCCTCTTTTCCAAATTTCTTGGCTAATTTCCAATCTATTGCGAAATGTTTTATTGTCTGCCTTTCATTCAGGCAATTAAGACAACTTCTATCAATATCTTGGCCGATATGCATAAGCCAATAGCCTAATAGAAGCACATGGTTCTGTAGTCTTCAAAATATATATTTCTTTTTATTTAGCATTCCCTTACTGATAACCCATTGAAAATGCTTGCCTAGTCCTTCTTGTATATTTATTGGTACTTGTGAGACTGTTTGTTGTACTGAAAATTGCTTCAGGTAGTCTGTTGTATTCTTCACTGTAAAGTCATTACCTGGTTGTTCATATACCACTAGTTGTATAGTATCCCAAGGCCACTCATTTGTAGCTGTAATGGTACCTTTGAGTCTTTTCTATGCAGTTAGGTATGGCTTCCAGTTATCCGGCCATCCTTTAAGTTTAATTAGCGATCTAGTTAATGCTGTTAATACAGAAATGTTCCTTTTACTTCGAAGGTTTTGAGAGATTATTGCTCTCTCTATTTTGGCCCATATAGTATTTGTTGATATCAATTTGATCCAAATTGATATAAGCCTGGAATCTAGTCGGTTAGTTGGCTGAGTTGGCAACTAATTGATTAACAATTTTGGCCAAACTATTAATCGATTAACCAACTAATCGATTAATCGATTAACTATTAATCGATTAATCAATTAATCAGTTAGTTGTTTTTATTTTAATTAGCTTTTTAATAAAATTTTTATCAGATTTATATTCAGTATTATTATTAAATTAGATCAACTAAAACAACTAATCGATTAATCGATTAATCGATTAGGCCACACCAATTTGATTTTTTGTTTAACATAACCCCCCTTCTTTTAAAAATTTATAGTATAAATAATACACATTCTATTTATATTAGCCAATAGAAGGCTTGTATTTCAATTCAGAAATTTTATATTATAATATGGTAATTTGACAAATGATTGGCTACACAAACTACTTTACAGCACACTTATAGAGAGTGCACTTATAGGCCTTTTCAAAGTAAATTTACTAGTAGATTTGTAGATATAAATTTTCATTTTGTAATGTATTGTATTAACCTATACGTGTGTACTAACTTGGAAGTAAAATAAAATATATATTATAAGAGCTTCTAAATTTACATAATATACTTTTTATTTTACTTCCAAGTTAGTGCACACGCTATAAAGGTTTTACTGTATATATACAATATGCACACACATGTATTAAATGTTATCCGGCAAACTCATATGATCATGAAAAAATTTCTTTTTGTTATTTTTTTCATGTAATTATGTTTATTCCAGTATTCAAAAAAAAAACTCAGCGAGCAACTACCTACCAATCATGATCATAAATTGCCGGATAATACCGATATTGGGCAAATTGTCGAATACAGTAATTCAACAATTTTTGCCAATATTGTATACTTTTTGAGTATTCTAGCTTGTGATAATACGTATTAAATACATATGCAACATAATCAGAAATAATCAACACAAAAAATGCTTTGTTAATGTTAAAATTTTATCTCTCTACGTAGAAGGCCTTCGATAAGATCATAGATTATCAAACGGAAAAAAAAATCTGAAACAAAAAAACATACTGTACTTTGACAAAAGCGAAAATCTAAATGGTGCTAAATATAATCGGCATGATATATATATATATATATTTCTAAATATTTAGCTAGTAGCTAAAGCTAATATTATTAGCCTTTGGCTACTAAACTAGAAACTAGTATTGCAAGGAAGTTGTTTTACGATTTTCATTACACTGCATGACTACGCATAGTAAAAATGAGTGGAAAATTTTAAAAGCGTTAATCATTGCTATATAAAGATCAACAAATAATTAATTTTTTTTTGCGCCCTGCTTACCGCTACTGCATTGTATAATAAATTTGGAGAATGACTATAATAACCACTTAATATAGCCACGTAGAACATACTTTTCTAGTTAGCACTAAACTAATAAAGATTTCTACATTGCTATATTAAGTTATTATTATAACATACCCTCCAATTTTATTTATACAAGACTGTTGAAAAGAACCATTAGTTGACGACTAAGCCGGATATTGTTATAAAACAGAATTTATTACATAAATATAGCTACGATTTGTATTTCTTCGGGCATGTTGGATGACATTATAAAGCTGGGCGAATGTAGTTGGTAGGGATAGGGATATATCAAGTATATCAGATATGCGAAGTTAACCTGCGCATAGCCTTAGTGTGGGATAAATAAATGATGATTCTTTTTCCCAAGAAGTAAAAATTACATACGCACGTATATACGTACGAACATATTTTGCTACCTTGTGATCATTATGAATCGTAAATGTGCTGGTTGGAACAGTACCGATGCATAAAAATACTTTATAATTAATCGCAATTATCTTTCATTCAAGTATGATTTCTATGTTTATGCCAATTGTGAGTAAAAAAGAAATATACATGCATACTGTTTTTTCATCAATATAATACTTCAAATAAAAAAGATTACTTAATAATCAATCTAAGTAATCGCAATTGTCTACTTCTATGTTTATGCCAATTGTGAGTAAAAAAAAAAAAAAAAAAAATTACATACGATTTTTTTTGATCAATATAATGCTTCAAATAAAAGGGTTGCTCAATAATCAAATTTTTCCATTCTTAATTTTCTCAATTCTCAATTTTTTAAAATGCTTTATCTCTTGGTTCAGGTTAACGAAGGTCCCAAAAGTATTATACCTGAACATATAATGAGTATAGAGTCAGAAAACAATCAATTTTTTGACCTTTTTGATGCAGCTACGTTAGGACAATACGAAGATAGAAAGGTAAAAGTTTTTATTAGGAGAGAAAAATCTGAAGGCTGGCGAGAAGTAGACAATGGGTTAAACGGAGACTTGAAAATGCTAGAAGTTCTGGGTTTTATGCAGGTCAAATTTTGTCTCATTCCTATGATAAATGTAGATGCATCAGGCTCTACTCAAAACGAACACGATGCCTTTAGTATTTTAATGAAAAATTTAAAAAAGCCTTTACTTCCCCAATGCTGTACTGAAAATAATAACCATAACCGACTTTTCAATGAAATTATTGAGCTTTTTCAAACTCAAAGCATTGGCTGGACGAATGGTTTGCATGAAACAATAGGAAAAACATTTATAATTCGTCTTGCAAGTGCTATTTGGTATATTGATCCACATCTTTCAACACTAAGTGCATGTTCATATCATTTACCAGCTCTTTTTAAACAGTTAAAAACATATCAAGATGGTAGATCGTATAATGAATTTTATTACACTGGTCGCCATAAAAAGGTACCATTGTCTCAACAAAAACTTGCGCATATTTCGAATTCACTCGAGATTTCTATTAGCCAACCATGGGCAAGTAACAATAGATGGAGTCAAGTAATGCCTGCAGTTCTTTCTTTAATTGAAATTCTAAAAAAATACTCAGATTATTTAATTACAACCAATGCTAGTATGAATGAACTTCATCATAGCAATGAAAGTGCCCGCAGTTCTGAGAATAATAGTACTATGTACCAAGTCGCTGCTTGCGAACCTATAGACCGGTACCGATTTATGAAAGAAGTGCAACTTACATTTCCAATCGGTGTATATAGGTTAGCATTTTTGTCTGAAATAATATATTAACTCTTTACAACACAATTACGATATATCTTACCTATTAATGTAGTCAGTGTTATCATGTTACTATGTTCATAGATTTTTTTGAGTAAAATAGTGATAGCGCGGTCCTGTGACTAATTCAATAACAATGATATCATAATTTTCGTCTAAAAATTGTTTACATTAATACAAAGTTAAAAGAATATATCTAAATTTTTGTGCTAAAAACTTTTACATAATAACAAAGGCCATTTCCCTTGCGGATTCGAGTTTTTTTGCGATTTCTGGTCTTTATTTTTTTACTTCGCATTTGTTGATCTTACAATCGGATTGAATAAAAATCACGCCAAATTTGCGCCATCACTATTTCACTCGATTTTTCATATTCATGAGCGTCCATATGTTTGTTTTATTAATTTGGTTAATTTTCTTTGTAAAAATTTTAATATATACGAGTTTGAGTATTTTCAGTAATTCGCATCTAATTTGTGCTATTTGAACTTTTTAGATATTATCAGGGTAATTATTTGGGAACAATTAATTACATTTGGAGAATTCCAAAAAATGAAGAGTCGAATGATGAAACATTAAAAGCACGTATGTTAGCTAGAATTCATGAAGAATTACCTCGTTATTTTACACGGCAAATGAAAAAAAATGTACTTGAGAAGGTAAGATAATACAACAGACATTCAAACATTATTAAACATATTAAAATATATATTTTTATATCTATAAAATAGTATTCCTATATTCAGAAAGTTACACCAGCAGTATTACGGATGCTTCACTTTGATCTTACAGGAAATGCCGCTGTAACTTCTAATGCAATTAGTTGTGATGTCGAAGAGAGATTACGATTGATGTTGTTATTAGCAGATCCTAATATTATATTTGATTTGCGTACCAATAATGGATTTAAGGGGACAAAATTTAATATATTTTGGGATGAAACAGAGGCTTATTTCAATGAACAAGTAAGATTTTATATTCGTATATTACATCGAGGTAGTTTGTCAATTAAATAAATCAAAAATATATATGGTCAGAATATTCAAGTTTACTGATTTTTCAGTACCATAATTTACATATCTACTTTTAGATTACAGAGTATAATGTTTTTTTTAGCAAAAAGTTTAGTTTAATACCAATCGATCCTTTCTTATTTGAATAGTAAAGTTAAAGAATCATTTTTTATATCATGTATGGAAAATGAATTCTTATTTATGAGTTCTTTGATAAAATGATGCCTGATGAAACTCACGTGACTTGGCGAAACCATATAGTTTCGCTATTTCATCACCAATTTGCCAACGGCTTTGTTAGATATCTATATTATTGGAATATTTGATTCTGTAACTGACCTTTTATCGATTCATTCAAAGTTTAGACTTATAATTTTTTTGTTATAAGGCCGTACCCTAAACAAATATTGCCATAATATAACAAATTTTAATAAAACCATATTTACTTAATTGATAGGCCGCATAATATTACGTTTTATTATTGTTATTAACTTTATATTTATTTTTAATATAGAATTTACTTGCAGTAAATGAGAGGCGACATGGAAGTATTCTGTATATTCCACTAGCATTATCAATTCATGACCTTCGTGAAACTGTAGTAGAAAGATTAAAAAATACTTATGGTGATCCTTTACCTTCTAATATTAATATTCCATCAGATGAATGGATTCGTCTGCAATTTTGTCCTGCAAATGCCACTACAATGCGAGCGATGTATTATACTGGTTGATTCAGTGTAAAATTTAAAGTACAAAGTCGGATGCTTCGGAAAAGTAGTGAAGATGCACATTATTGTGCTGCGCTTTTCAAATATCTTAGAGAATTTTGTATACAATACCACCAGTGGACTTGTTTAATCTCTGCTGATGATAAGCACAAGATTCCTATTGGGGAAGATGTTGCAGTTTCTACGGGTGTGCGAAATTGACGCACTATAGTTTCTCAAGAAAGCACTTTGGCTGCTGCTGATCATAATTTCTCAAAACTATCTCTAACACCGTCGGTTATATTTTTTATATCTATTCCTAATGATATCTCTGGGTCATTTTATGATGGACAGGTGTTTGTGTCATATAAAGATACAGTTTTTGAACCAAGCACAGCTATTAGACATTCGGCAGAATTTTTAAAAGTGTTAAATATTCAATATACATGTCAAGTAATGCCACCAATTCTATGTCTTTACACTGATGGAGGTCCGGACCATCGTTGTAATTATAGTTCAGTACAAATTGCATTACTTAGTCTTTTTTTTTGTGGGGATTTTGATCTGCTTGTTGCTGTTCGTACTGCCCCCAATCATAGTTGGACGAATCCCATGGAGCGAATTATGAGTACTTTAAATTTAGGGCTTCAAGGTTAGTGAAAAAATTCATTATGCGCATGTGTGCTATATAGGTAATTTCGATAACACATGCGACGAGTGAACAGTAGGTTTAAAATTATGTGCGCAACGCAAACCTAATTTTTTTTTCCTGTTCAAGGTGTAGCGTTAAAGCGTGACTCGATGAGTCCTGAATCTGAATTATTATTTGGAATGTCAAATACATTAGATAACATACGCAAAAAAGCACAAGAATCTAGTAAATTAAAGTCTGAGTTAAAAGAATGTACTTCAGGTGTTAAAGAAATATTAAATAGTCGAACTGAACGACTTCGATTGAAAAATAATCAATTTAAATACTTTTCACCTGCAAGCGAAGAAGCCATTGCAGAGATATTTGAAGTAAATACGGCATTTATTATTTTTATTGCTTAAATATTATAATTACTATAATTATTCACTGCATTTCACAAATATTATTAATTTAAATTTTCTTTATTCATATATATCTGATATTATAAAATATAATTAATTTTTTGATTAGTCAATTTCTAGTATTGATTCAACATTAAAAATCGACGAAACTACACAAGCACAAATGCGTCGCCATACAACATTAGTTAGGTTTATGAATACTCATTGCCAAATGCGTGCTTATAGTTTTCAGGCACGTATTCACAATAGATATAATGGATAGCGATAGTAATTTGCTATTAAAATTACAAATTAAAATAGAATCACAATTGAAATTATTGCAGTTTGCAAAATTTGCGTGATTACTAATTATTTACGATTTCTTAAATCTACTCCGATATCGTGGTATAAAATTATCATATCAGGATAGTTTTAAGAAATCATTAGTAATCACATAACAATTGTGCAACTTCTTTTTGATATTTTTCAAGAGAGGATACAGAATTTTGCAAGTCACAAAAACATGTATTTTATTTATTTTATGTTTGAACACTAATTGAAATTTTATATATTGAAAGTAAAAAAATGTAACAATTATTCCTGCTTATATTGCAAGCCAATCCGTCTTCCATCACATGAGTTTCATAATTTGAACTTTCTTCCAGATCCAATCCCATCAAAAGGTAAATTATATTATTCTTTAGAATTATGTATACATATACTGTATATTAACAAATTTAATTAGATAATACGGATCATTATGCAACTTTTCAACAAGTTTATGGTTCTAAAACCACAGAAGAATATAGGCCGACATATATTCAGTTAAAGGCGAATTCAGAGTCTATTCCAAAATCCATCCTAATTTCCGAAAAAATCCGTGGTTATATTAATTGTGAAAATTGCCGAAAACGTTGTTGTGTATACAGTAACAAGTCTTTAACTAATGAAGAACAACAGGATTATCAACAAATATTAGAATCGTATTTATACTCCTGTGGCGCACCAATTTTTCCTGATGATCATTACTTAAAAGAAGTTATATTCGTACGTTCGCAGATTAATTGCGATTCACCAATTGAAATATTGTACTACTCAAGTCGTAAAGGAAACTATCCGATTTGCTATTATTGTGGAAGTAGAGAAGATCTAGTAACTCCTCCTCAGTCTTTAAAAGAACGGTTCAAGCAAATTTATCCGTTATGTGAATTCTGTCAGTTAGACCAAAAAGAATTCCATAGAAAAGGGGCGATTAAAACTAATAATAAGGCTACGAAACATTCTAAAGAATATGATTAAAGATAAATTTTGTTATAAGGCAGGTAAATATATAAGGGTATTGTAATTTATCGCATAGCGATGTATCGCTACCCCTGATCGACCAATTAACGTGAAATCGAAACAAAATATGGTCTTTTTGAAAAATCGTCTGTAACTCAAGATTTTGTTTATGAAACCGCCTCTTACGTTCTAATTAAAAAAATTCCTTGCAAAATTTTAGGTTAGAATTTTTATTTTTTAAAGCCACACTACTAATGCTAACCCTAACCTTAAATCAGCACGTTATTATTCATTGTTTTAATTTCACGTTACACATGATCTTATGAGCGGTGATACATCGCATAGGCGAAAAAATATAAAATCCAATATATTAATCTACGAAATTTTAAAATTTTCATGCTTCAAAATTAATATTGTTATATCATTATTTCCTTGTATAATATCAATAATTCAAATTACCTTTCTTACATACAGCAAGGATTTTTTATATGAATTTAAGTAATTACTTAGAGGTTGAATAGTGATTCGCGGATGAAATATTTTATGGGCTATGTAATAATATAACCTGTATTTCGGTTGTTTGAAACTTAAAACGAATAGTATTCATAACAATTGTGATTTTTTAAAAATCATTTATATTATAAGTGAACGATTTATAAATATATAATTTATAAATATTATATAGCTTCATCAGTTTAATAAGCAATTTACAGCTAAGAAAAGCAATTAACTAATTATAGCGCTTTACAAAAAGATGCAACCCAATGATTTTTGTGATATTGATTGAGGAAAATTTCTGAGATTCTAAATTGTCTATATATTTTCGATCAGTTATGATATTTATTTGAAATCGGTAATATTCTTAAAATCTACAGAATCTCTGATTTTCATACGACATTGCGGTCACATCTTTTTGCAAAGCGCAATAAATACTGTACAATAATGGTTTATAATTATTATGCGGATTATAGCCAATGCAAGCAATTGTCTAATCATGCAATCGTACGATTTAATTTTAAAGGAGATCATACAATAAATTCTTGGTACAGGCATTGTGGGTAAATCTATAATTATCTTAATTGTTTATACGTATTGATTGTTTTCTTACAGTAAAATGCCAAATATCTGGTAGTAAGGAGTAGTATCGCTTAACACTTATGATTATGCATGTAAATAGTAAGATTAACATTATGATTGTGCGTGTGTATAGTAAGTAAAAAGGGTTGGCTCCAAGACTGCAAGGATCAGGCTCAATTAAATATAACCCTAGTATTATAATTCGATCCTCTGTATATCACTGTTAATTCCTTTCTAAGGGTATATTTTTATAGCTAATTGATATTGCATTGGTCTCATGTCTATTGATTCCAATAAAGGCAGCTGTTAAAAATCGAAAAAGACCTCTGCTAGGATTTTTAGTATAATTATTCCATTCTAATCTAAGTGGATTCCAAATCTATTATGATTCCACTTACAACATAAGGTAGAGGGAGGTATTCTGGCGGGGTGGATAATGTGGCAGGTCACATTTTATTGAAGTTTTTGTGCGGTCTATCGATTAAAAACTAATGGTTCTTATACCATTCGATTTGTCTCACCACGACGGATCGAATGGTATAAAAAATATTTGATTCTGATCAATGTATTGCAAGATAATCATATAAAATTCTATGATTAAGAATGAGCAATACGGCGGATAATATTATATCGATCTGTCAATCCACCACTTTACCCTCCCGACTGTTGAAGTTACTTCACACTAATAAAAATCGTGCAAACACAAGTCAGCTTGCTTTTTTTTGATTGTATAATGTAATAAACAAAGAATTATGTTATATAGAAGTAAAAATTGTAATTAGTAATATTTTAATAAAGTTTTATTATAAGCAATTCTTGATAAATTTTAATACCGCCAGAATATCTCCCTCTACCTTATATACTAGCTTATAGTATTTATCTATAGCTTCAATATAAACTATTTTATGATTGTTGTGATTATGTAATAATGTACAAAAAATATCAAAAAGAAAAAAATATATGCATATGTGAGTTTATATAATAATGAATTTTAACTTTCTAGTATATTTAAATAGCCAATCAAATTACATTATTTTTTATTTTGTGTTTTTTTTTGTTTATTATTTTAGCCCCCCCCTATATTATCAGGTACCAATGTTATGTTAAACGAAGAATCAATTTGGTGTGGCCTTAGTTAGCAATAATCGATTTGCAATCGATTTTTTAAAAAATTTTCAACCAACTAATCGATTACAATATTTGTTTCGATTCGTATCACTAATCTAAGATATCCTTAAGAACTGGAGCATCTAGTCCTCCTCTGTTGTAGTCCAACTGAAAAGTTGAATATCTAGGTAGCATTTTAGATTTGTTCTTAATCTACACTGCGATAAGATTATTTATCTTATCCAACTGTTGTTTCTTAGGTGGGAGGAGGTAAGCCAAGTACTATATTTTAGAAATAAATAGGGCTTTTGCTAACAGGATTTTTCCTTTGAAAGAAAGATTTCTGGCTGCAATTTTCTTAATTCTGTTTTTAATATTTTGAGTTAGATCTTCCTTAAGTGTATTTTAGCATCACCTTTAATGTTTACTTCATAACCCAGGATTCTGAGTGAAGTTTCATTATTGGCTATCTTGGTTTGACAAACTTGTCAATTGTGCTGCCTCTGTTATAGGGACTAAAATAGATTTTTCTCTGTTAATTTTAGAGTTTGCAGCAATTTCAAATCTTTGTAACAGTGAAAGGAGTTTTTCCCAATTAGATTGAGAACCAACTCCTACTGTTAAGTCATCAGCATATGCTACTGCTTTAAATTGTTGTTGCATAGTCAAAAAAAACTCTCTCTCTCTCTCCACCACCGAATAGTGGAGAGTATAGAAAAAACACAACGATAAACAAAACTAGATACTCGACTTCTAAACTATTATCAAGGGTTAG